GCATATCTCTCCATTGGCGAGTGTGTGTGAAAAGGCCGGAAGGAATTCTAAAAGGGTTGCTTTCCCTGGCTTTAATTGGTTTAAAGGCCCCCCCCCCCCGCTTTTCCCCTTTTGCCTGTCGTAAGAAGCGTCACTCCTCGTAAGAAATAGAAATTTGGCCAGCCATAATGCCCTCCCATTCTTTTCACACTGGAAGGCGGCCCCTAAAAAAGTAAGGGACTGGGGGAAACTGTTGTTTGGAAAGGTTTTGTTTAAAAGTGTCTGTGTACAAAAGGACCAGTTTATTGTCAATTTGGATCTCTCTCAATGTAATTATTCCTGTTAATTACATATAAACAGATGAGCAGTGGGAAGAAAGAAGAAAGTATTCTCATTTATTTGTAGAAAAGTCAAAGTAATTCCTATATTTTAACAGCTTGAGATAAACAGCATACAAGGCAGGCAGGCAGTAAAAATACCTTGAAGTCCCATTCACATCATATTTTAGTCAGTTTCTGTCAGAATTGACAGGAAATGTGCATTAAAATGGATTTAATGGTGTTAGAGAATCTTGTTCCCTTGATAGTAATTGGGGGGAGGAGTAATCAATTTTACAAAGAATCCTTCAAGTTAAACAGTCTAGCCAAATAGCCCCTTCCTAGATACTGTGGTTACTACTGGCCATCATGTCTTGAGAAGTAGTTCTTTTGCTTCACTCCCTCCACTTCTACTTAGCTGTTATACTAAGTGCACTTAGTACTGTGTTATTGCTAACTTAGATACTTAGCTGGAGTAGAGTCTGTTATACACAGTGCAACTTCATGTTTAAAATTAATTTCTAAATAATGACAGAGAACTAAATGGACACCAAGTTTTAAACCTCTAAACAATAATGTCTAATTGCTCTGAGTAATTTTTTGTTTATGGTCACTCATGTTGGTAAGATGCATGAATTAAATCATGGAGATTGTATTTCTGTACTTCAATATACCTTTTGTTCTGCAGTATTTAAAAAAAATACTAAAAGCTTTTGTTTTAAAAAAGTGAATTACTATGATGTGACACAGAATAATGCCCTAGTAGAGAGGTGCTTTGTTATTTGTAGAATTCAATTTCAAATACTATTTGCCCTTGCTTTCTTTTCTTGGTTGCAACGTACGATTATTCTCTCTTACCAGATAACAGAGCTGTTGTATATGGAGGAACAGAAGGCTCAGCAAGAAACTGGTAGAGTTTCAATTTCTATGATTGTAACTTATCCTCAAATCCGTTCTTCTGGGTAATGATAGGTTTGAGGGATTACAACCGTAAACATTGATTATTTCTTTTTGAAAGTGAAATTTGAAAACATGTTGGGTAAAAACTTTACCCAGATGATCACAGTATATTTTGTGGAACTTATGAGATTTTATTAATGTTTTTCCTTTTTAATGAAAATTTGACTTGAAATGCTTATATTGTAAGTAAAATGAACAGATTACAGTGATAACATAATCAAGCATTTATAGATGGAAGAAAGATTCTTTTTTAGAACGGCATTAACACAAGCATTTTAAAAAGCTATTAATTTAGTAGCTTTTTGTAACGTTTTAATGTCAGAAGTTACATATATTATAATGTATGTTTTATATGACAAAAATATATTATTTTGGATAATAAGAAACTACAGTACATGTTGCTATGTAGTTTCTTTACTG